TTTCAGTGTGACCATCCATATTTTTTTTCGGTATTTCTTGTTCGATCCGTATCAACATTGTTCATCACTTTTTGCTTTAAACTTCAATTTCTATATCTCTCTTACACACTTTTTGCGCTCATTTTGTCTGTTGCCTTGGCTATCTCTTTTGTGTGACACAACTACAACAGCAACAACTACTTTACAGATCCTCAGAACCCAAAGAATTACTATCCGACGAGCAGGTTGAGAATTTACTGTTGAACCACATGGTTGATGAGCACGGGGTCATCATAGTGGAGGAGTTGAAGTCCCCAACTGCCGCGACAAGAACAACAACTAGCATGTATCACCCACAGCAACAACAACAGCAACAACCACAACCACAACAACAACAACAACAACAACAACAACAACAACAACAACAGCAGCATCATACGTTAAGCGTAGCGGGCGCTGCGCGCGCAGCTTTATTATTTTAAAATTCCCGCATCTTAACTGTACTTAAATCTGGACCTGCTGCGCAAATAACCATGAGACCATTTCAAGCAATTAGTAAGAGGCGTACATATCACACGACATCATAGACCCCATTGAGCTGGTGCATTGAAAGGAGGAGGTAGGTGGAGCTGAAAAAGCCACGCCCAATCTTTGAAATGTTTTGTTTCTACGCATAGTTTTTGGCTATGTTTTAATCCTAATATGTGCAATAATGTTCTTTAGCGTACAAAATCAAAAGCAAAAAAACAAAAAACAAAAAAAATACAAAGTTACATTTTATGCTGTTCAGTAAAGCAATTAACAAACGCTAGTCCTAGGCGAAACGCATACAAATCAGTGAGAGGAGGAATATATTATTAGCAAAAACCATTTAAAAGAGATAAACCATAAAATACAAAATAATTATAGAAATTATACAAAGTACGTTATAAATATATATACATATTGATATTGACATACACTGTCGCCAAATAAGTTTTACCATGATAAGAACCTTTTTTATTTTTGGAACTGGGCAGATTGGTATCAGCGCACGTTAACACAAACGTGACAATTCCATTAGGTCGTAATTTAAATGGGCGAATCATTTTGCGCGTATAAATAATCGTGATTATATCGATAGCAAAGCACGTCGACTTGCTATCGATGATTTCGATATTTTCGATAAATAAAATAGCTAGCAGTTCGTGCAACAGCTGTAGCAAGTAAACAGGTGATTGGTATCTAAAAATGAGGCAGTTAACATATTGTTAGCTAGTTATTTATTTGATATTGTTTCTTTAAATATATTTGAAACTGCGCTTCAAATTGAGCTAAGCTGAATTGGCATGCAAGTTTTTTCGGTATTTTAAATACATTTAGCGCCTTAGGCATATATCGATATCAACTATCGGATAGTTGTCCATCTCCACTGTAGCCGATCTCCAAGAAATTCCAAATAAAAGCAAAAAGCAATCTGCTGCCAATTTTAGCAACAACAGCACATTTGACTCGACTGCATCACGCAAAATGAACGTGCTTCCGGTGCTGCTGCTGCTAGTGCAGCTGACAGCCATGGTGCTGGCAGGAACTAATGAAACCGCAACTGGCAGCCCAGCTAGCTCCAATGTGACCAAACTGGCAATGGTTAGCCCAACCAGCAAAGCAACTGCCATAGACACAGGTGCTGGTTCCAGTGCCATTACAGTTGCAGCCACAGGTAATGTAATAACAAAGTGTGCAAATCAAGCTTTATCCTACTAACTCAACGGCGGTAGCCAACCAATTGCAAGTGGACAAGGACATGCCGGCCAAGGTCAACGGCACGGAGGAGCATGCCGTGGTGCTCGCACGCGGCGTTACCAATACGGATACCGCCACAGTGCAAGCGACACCAAAAGCGAACGCAACAACAACAACAACAACAACGACGACGACGACGCAAGCACCACAGGTAATCAAATCGACAGCAGCTACGGCGATAACAAAGCAGACAAATACAACGGCCAAGTCGGACAAAATGCTGGCCGATGGTGTATCGCTGAGTGACATCAACAAGAACAAGAAGGAGAATAACAGCAGCAGCAGCAGCAGCAGCACTATCACGACGCCAGCAGCTAATATTAATGCCAGCGCCACCAACAGTAGTAGCAGCAGCACCACGACCACGACCACCACGTCAACAACAACGAGCACAACAACTACAACCAGCACAACGACAATGCGTCCCAAAAAGCCCACCGTGACAAGCAGTATGGACATACAGCTCGAGGGTGAGAAGCTGGATGCGGCTGCCACGGCCGCTGGCAACGTTGCACCACACGTTCTGCCCGTGCAGGAGCTGAGCAGCAGCTTGACCAATCGCGGCGAGAATGAGTATATTGTGCCCATTGTAACAATAATGCTAGCTGTGCCACTTGCCATAGCCGTATTCATCATTATGTACCGGCGCTTTCGGGATTTGTGGACAACGCGCCACTACAGGCGCATGGACTTCCTGGTGGACGGCATGTACAACGATTGACGAAGGCGCCAGCAGCAGCAGCGGCACGGCAACGGAGCTGCCAGCGGTGGTGGAGGAGCTATTGACGGTGTGGGCTGTTTATCAATTGCTGCCACGCGGCTGCCGTAGCGCAAAAGAATTTGATAAAGCAAAGCAAATGATTGGAAAGATTATTAGTTGTTAAGTTTATTATTATTATTATTATTATTATTATATTTCTTATTTTGCATGGAATGCAAACAGAACAATTGCGCGAGCAGGATAGCTAGAGGAATGTGTGCAAGCGGTTGGAGAAAGCGAAAGCGAGAGGGAGAGAAAGAGGCACTGGCTAAATATACACATTGCTCAGTCAATTAAAACATTGAGAAAAACACTAGATGAAATGTTTATGTAGGTGTGTGTACGCGCGCGTGTGTACACACATGCTGCACAAATATGTGTTAGCTTTAAAACGCAATAGTAATTTCTAAGAATATATACATACACACATTTACATATATATATATATATTCGTAGCGGCCAAATTGCATAATTTGATAAGATTCGAACGTAGCGCAAAAACTGAAAAGTTAAAAACTGATTTTTATGAAAATATTGCTAGCATTTGATTACATGGGTTCAAATTATGTTTATGCATTTCGATTAATGTGTGTCTATATCTAAAGAAAAAAAAACTGCATATACATTTATACCTTTCAACCAAGTTGTAGATACTATTGAAAAAAAAAAAAGAAAAGAAGGAACTTGAGGCGCAATTAGCAATCAATCATTAAAATTACTATACAAAATATTTGTACACTATACTATAACCATAATGTGCCTTACCAACTCAGCTCTTAATAATGCTGTATCAAACATACATATATATTATGTACACATGTACACATATAGCCACCACATGTGTAAATAATATATATATCTACATCAGTGCATCTGTAACTGTATCTGGTAACAACACTCGCTGATGGACTCTGTAATCTCGAAAGCTATTTGGCAAAGCATTTGATCTATGCCACTTTCAAACAAAAAAAAATCTAAATCAAAATGCAGTCGGTATAGCCAGAAAAAAATCAAAGCGCGCATTTATTACATAATAATTTGTTATAAACGGAATAATTACAATAAAGCAAATGCAGTGTAACCAATAATAATACGAACGTTTATTCAATATGCCTTTTGGCAGCCAAATGGGATACGTGAAACAGGCGTAACACGAAACAAGCCCAACACAAATGTAAACAAAACATTATAAACGCATTGGGAGAACGATTTCACTGGGCCATTGAGGCATGTTCTTTGTTCCTATATTCTGGAAAATAAACACGCACTGCCAACTTGAGCAGCCGGAATACTTACGTTTTTCAAGTAATGAGCAATTGTCATTGCGAATACTTATTGGCCAGTAAAGATATTGAGATTTTTTCCATTTATCAAATTGAATGTTTATTAATTATCGTGAAGATTTATTTTGATATTTGGAAGATGTTAAAAAAATGTATGGATATGCGAAAACAGTATTAATTACATTACCTTTTATGATTTAACTAAATAATTGTATATAAGAAAAAACCATTAAAAAAAGAGGACTACCACCTTTCTATGTGATTCTCAGGAAACAGATTTTCGCCTCTCTGCGGTGCAGGAGATGGAAGGAGACTAAAGGTTCAGGGATCAAGTGATACCGAGATAAAAATTAAATATGGTTCATTTAGGTACATTATAAATATATGTATAAGCTCTTAATGGTACTTGAGGCTGTGAAAGTCGTGTAGCTGGGCGATATATATATTGATCAGAGATACATCCTTAAGAGGCGCAAAACATAGGAATACTAAATAATATGTCTATATAAAATGTTCTGTTTTTAAAGATAACCAAGACCAAATTTTAAAGAAACTCCCTGACTCTCAGGATTATAAAATTGGAGCAAAACTGCAGAGCTCTTGACTTCGTGTGCAACATAGTTGTCAAATTATGTAACTCACCTGACCTTTTCTCGCTAGTGGATCACCAGCGGCTGTTCCCTGATTAAGACAAATGTCCAACAACATGCTTGATTGCCGACACAGCGTCTTCGCCTGCCACCTCAGTGTGCCCCCAAGAGAAGACAAGAGCAAAGCAATTTTTTGCTGTTGCTGAAGTGGTTTATAAATTATCTCCATCTCCATAGAACACATAGTTCGTTCATTTCTAATAATCTAAACAACAGAAAACAAAAACTGAAAATCCAAAAAGAAAAGAAAATGAACGCTGCAGCCCCTGCCGCTCGCCTCTACGGCTTGTGTGTATATATGTTTATTGAAATTCTTTAGCCGGATGCGGGACGAAGGCGCCGTAATCGGCAACGTGTGAAATGAGCCGAACAACTGCCTCGCCTCGACGCTGGAGACTGGCGGCCCGCTGCTCAATTGGAAACGTGCGCTGGACGCGTGCAGTGCTCATCGTGCTCATCGTGCGCTTTGTTATCGATTCCGATCATCCGATCAGAGCAGCAGCAACAGCAGCAGCAGCAGCAGCAGCAGCTATCCCATAATTCAATATGCATCCTGCCTCACCGCATCAGCATCGCACGCGCCTTAACATAAACGCACCCGGAACAGGCACCGGACAAACACAAACCACGCCGGATACCCTGAGCCCGCAGCAGCAGCAGCAGCACCATCACCAACACCATCATCATGGACAGCAGCAGCAGCAGCACACGGTGCAGATCAGCTCCACCACACATCCCTACCAGGGACTTAAAACCTGTAAGCTCTCCAAAGAAACATATTCTTCAATTTCAATCAAAATTGTTTATTCAAATTAATTGTGTTACGCTTTGAATTGGGGTAATCACCAATCAGTCACCCAGTCAATTACTCAGTCAATCAGTGAGTGAGTCAGTCCGTCCTTCAGTCAATCAGTAAGTCCAGTAGACAAGTAGTCCAGTATATATATCTATAGATATAGCATTAAAATGGGCTTCGTCTAGTCCAGAGTTTAATCTTTTCGGATTTCTGTCGTTTGGTTCTTACGACTCTCACAGTACGGCTCAATCAATAAGCCAACCAGTCGGTTTAGCAGGACAAACTGTTTTATAAAAATATGATTATATGTCACTTTTTATATAGTTCTATAGATATAGCATTCATATGGACTTTGTCAAGTCTACAGCTTGTTCTTTTGGGATTTCTTCCGTGCTGTTCTTACAGTTCTCACAGTGAGTCGATCACAAACTGTTTTACATACATTATATGTAGCTAAATAGATATGCCATTCAAATGGGCTTGGAATAATCTACAGTTCCTGCTCTATAAAGATTTATTTCGTTTCGCTCACACAAATCTCATACTCTGAAGCTATGATCTATATATTCGTCAAGTCTACAGTTTGATCTTTTGGGATTGCATGCGATCTGCTCTGACAGTTCTTACAGTTCTCACAGTGAGTCCATCTGTCATACAGGATAAACTGTTTTAAATACATATCAAGGTTTGTTGATATGTTGGCTTGGTTTAATCTTCAGCTTGATCTATAAAGATTTCTTCCGTTCGGCTCACAAAAATCTCTCTGTCCCTCTTCACAGTTCACAGTTCTATAATATTTGCTAAGTAAAATGGAGACTAATTTGTAAATTTGTAAATGTTTGGCCGCATTTCGCAGTGCATGTTGATCGTTTGTTTAGTTCATGGCTGACTAAAGATACAACTACAAAAGATACATATAGTATCCACAAATTCCGTATTTATGTGAACGGAAAATCATAATTCAAACGGGCGGTAAAACGATTCGCTGTCCCGCAATGGTCGAAGATAAAAATGATTCATTAGATGTCGATGCCAGTGCCATATTGAATTGTATCGATCAGCTCGAGCGACCACCTATGAAGTATGCAATATAAACTGTGCGCCGACATGTAAAAATAAATAACAGACGCGTCGCAAGGCGACGCACCGATCCGTATACGGATACGGGATATAAATTCGTATTGTCGAAACTTATAAGATAAACAAAAGCCCAACTGAAAATAACCCTGCTCCCCGTCTATAGACTGACTATTGGCTACCATCTACTCGTACTACATAAACATTCCAAATGGCCTGCCCTGCCCTGGCCTGGCCTGGCCTGGCCCCCAAGGCGATTGTTTAGCTACCTCTGGGCTGGGTATTAGTTCAAACTGCCAGCACTCGTTGAAATTTTAACCAAAACATAAACAATACGCACGATTACGGGCATATGTATGTATACACACATGTACTTAGGTGCTCATGTGTACAGATATGGGCCAGTGGCTAATTTAGCAATAAACAAATGCCTACTTATGTAGTTAGACACAATATGCCGACATGCGCACCTCATGGCTCTTGAAGATCAAATACTATTTGTTTTACCAATTGCTTTAAGCTAATTTTGCTTGTGGCCCTAAAAATTGGCCATAAAACTTCACTTATTTTCAGTTTTATTGCATTTACGCTCTGATCTGTGCGATCTTCCCTGAGATGCTGCACTTTTTATCTCCGTAATGAGCTCTGCTAATACTTTTTGACAATTGAGGCAGCATTTGAACCGGCGATCTTTCTCTTGATAGTCCGATGCGCCAGGCTCTTACTCCGCTTTACTTTATGTTCTAGAGACTAAATTGATTTTGGAATAATTGCAACTAAGAAACTGAAGAAAATCCAAATACGATTTCTTCTATAATGCCACACTACATATTAGCCCGATTATATTTCGCATAAAATAATAGAATTGCTAAACTCAAGTAATTCATTTTCGATCGATTATTTCTATGACACTTCCATGGCATAGTGATTCTCATCTGATTGACGATGGTGAGACAAACTTGGTTGGGCTCGATGGCAGATGGACTCGATCCTTGCTCTTCAGTTGCCCAAATGAGTGGCTCATTTGACGAGTTCATCTAACGAGGACAGCTTTTTGTAGCTGTTTTGCAGAGAGCCCCAGTAGTTAGATTCAGTGCTGTTTTTAATTGAATCCATATTAATAGAAACAATATTGTTGCCGCCATGATTAATGGCCAAGTGTTTTGGCCGATTCCGTCTGATCTCTGGTCGTGCTGTGCCCGTTCTTATTAAAAATCAGTTGCTGTCAGTCTTCAGTTGAACAACAAACGGAAATCCGAGGCAGCATAAAACAACATTTGCGTTTTCCATTTGAACAGCAACAAGTGCCACAATGCACATATGGCAGACGGCACAACCCGCTCGTACCCCCTCGCTAACCCCTCGCCCTGATGGTCTCACGACGGCACGTCATGAAATGTGCCTTCAATTGATTTTCAATTGCTTGTGAAATTTTGCGATTAATGTTTGCCACGAATGCTGTGGCTCCTTTCAACTTGTTTTTCCAGCCGAAAACGATGAGATGGGCTGTGTGGAGCTGCTGGCCACAGCCATATCGGTGCTGATCATGATTCTGACGTTTCCCTTCTCGGTGTTCATCTGCTTCAAGGTGGTCTCCGAGTACGAGCGTGCGGTCATCTTTCGCATGGGTCGGCTGCGCAGCGGTGGTGCCCGTGGCCCAGGCGTCTTCTTTGTGCTGCCCTGCGTGGATGACTATTATCCGGTGGATCTACGCACCGTCTCGTTCGATGTGCCGCCACAGGAGGTGCTGTCCAAGGACTCGGTGACTGTCACCGTCGATGCGGTCGTCTATTATCGCATCAGTGATCCACTCAAGGCTGTCATTCAGGTATCCAACTATAGTCACTCCACACGCCTGCTGGCTGCCACGACGCTGCGCAATGTGCTCGGCACACGGAACCTCTCCGAGCTGCTCACCGAACGCGAGACCATTTCGCATACCATGCAAATGTCCCTGGACGAGGCCACCGATCCCTGGGGCGTCAAGGTGGAACGTGTCGAAATGTAAGCAACAAGAAAGAAAGGTTCTCTCTGGCTTGCCTTCTAAGCATAGTCTGCATTCATGGGGTTTTGCAATTCAGTTTGAAACAAAAACGCATAAAGAAATGTTTCGAGCTATTCCTTATATAGAGCTAATTAGGATAATGGACCTTAAGGCTGATTCCAATATAAGTGGTGCCTACAGCAGAAAGAAGGACGCATGGAAAGTTTTATATTGACTGGGGGACTAGGCTCAAAATCGCCTTAAACGAAAATCTATCTGAACATTTGAAAATTGAGTAAAGCGTTTCATATAGTTCTCCTTTTAAAAAAACATTTTCAAATTTTCATCTATTAGTTTTGAGCTGTGATTTATAACAAACAAAAATTTATTGAAGAAAATTTTATATGGTTTCTAGTTTTATAGACATTTGTTTCTTGTTTTTAGAAAAGTTACAAATTGCTTTCAGGAATATATTTTTTTTAGAAACGAGGGCGATTTCGGCCCCTATTTCAAGCCGAATTTTAACTTTTATGGGCTATACTAGATTGTTTTTTTTCTGAGTGCAGATTCGTGACAAATTTAGAGCACCCTCTCGCAAGAGCATAAAAAGAGCTGGCATTGATTCGAGTTTGGTGAAGTTAAAAAATGGATTTTCATTCTACTCTTTACAATTCAGAAAAGACGTTTCGCTGCCCACCGCGCTGCAAAGGGCGATGGCCGCCGAGGCGGAGGCTGCGCGGGAGGCGCGAGCCAAAGTGATTGCCGCCGAGGGCGAGATGAAGTCCTCGCGTGCACTCAAGGAAGCTTCAGAGATCATATCGGCCAGTCCGTCGGCATTGCAGTTGCGGTATCTGCAGACGCTGAGCAGCATCTCGGCGGAAAAGAACTCGACAATTATTTTCCCTCTGCCCATGGAGCTGCTAACGCCATTTCTCAACTCTTCTAACCAACTGGCGGCCAATGCCCATGCGCAGCTCCATAGGCACCAGCACCAGCATCATCAGTGACGCTCGATGTCGGTGCTGCAGCCGTACCTGGAGGCACTGGGTCGCTGCGAGCTGCGCCGGCAAATCGCTGGAGACAACAACGTGGACGACGATGACGACATTGTTGGCTATTTGTTATAAGTGGAACCGGACAGGAAAGGTTTCTCTGTCTTGTGCCGATGTGTTCCCTGGCGAAACAAGAAACACTCCACAATGGACTTCATTTGTTCCAAATGCTGTGTTCTGGTTCTTGTCTGCCTGACGAGAGCCGACTGGTTGGCCTTTATGTGGGAATCATAGCAATTATTTGTAAGTTATATTTTAGAAAAGCCACATTTTTTTTTAACATTATTTATTGAATTGTTCATAATTCTCTTGAGCTTATTTGCTTTTCTCGACCAAATTTTATCTGCCTTATTAAAAATGTATTATTATTTCCAAAACTCAGGTTCTTTTGTTTATGGCGATATGTTAAGTCAAAAAAAGATCCCAATTTTTACCATCTAAGTAGGTTCGATATAAACGTCTTAAATTGTGCATATAAAAGGAGGCAGCTTTTAAAAACTTCGTCAGTCTCTGATATAACTAAAACGAGTCGGGCGATTACAGACTACATTTTCCCAAAAATACATTTATTGGCAAGAGTTGTTTACAAAGACTCCAAATTGAACTTTTTTGAAACGCTGTTTACCTTTTCCTATTCTATTTTCTAAATATTTGTATATATTTTGTAGCGAAAATAGTTGTGTTCATGATAACATTTTATTTTGTACATGGATAAAGGTTGTTATAATCGTCGGGTAAGTAAAGCGGGACCTATTCAATGTTCGGCGGCATGCCGGAGGTCGTCAGGTCCTTTTTTCATTTTTCATGTGACTTGCAGACTAACAAGTCGAACGAGGCGCGCAATGATCAGAACTACTGCCAAATGGGTCGTGTGGACAAACCGGAAGATGATTACCTTGTGTATTCGAGGGCAGGCAACAAATCGCGCATACACCTCGAAGCCATATACGATGATCGGTATTGGCCGCGACCTGAATGCGAGAAGTCAACGCAAACCTTGCTTTACGACTGTCCACGCTGCAACAGAGAGTCGACAGCTCAGCAGACCGACGGCTCAATACGACAATTCAGCCAACCCGACGGGCAATGCAGCTATCAGCGTTACAAAAGAAACGATCCAACCGAGGACCTCCTTTTAAGTGACTATCGAAAACAGTACGGCAAACAGCCGCTACAGAAAACCAACGCCGAGTTGCCCGAGGGCCAGACTGAAAGAAGTCGCAAGCAATTGAGCTTCGAGCGAAACGACCAGAATGCTCGGCAGAATGGCACGGATATTCCCGCAGCGTCAGGTGCAGGCCAGCTGCCGAAACGTTACGAAAGGCCGTCTTGCTATCAGCCTACATGCGGCAACATGAACAAGGAGCTGCGAACGCCGTCTCGGCCAACGGAAGAAGCTATTCCGCAACGTCATCAGCGATACAACGAATGCTTGGAGCCGCCTGCCGAGCCTGTCGAGGGCCGTCTTCCCAGGGATTGTCAGAAGCAGTACAACAGCTATAAGACGTCACACAAGGAGCTGCCGACTCTGGCAATGGATGGACTCGGTCAAAGACGTTCCAAGCAGCAGCACCAGCGGATGGGAGATGAGCACGAGCCGATGGAGAGACGCGATTTACCTGCCAAGCACCAGACATCACCTGGGGATCTGCGTCTGCCAAGGGATTATCGCTTGCACTCTACCAACAACGGGGCCAAGGAGTTGCATACTCCGTTTCCGGCTACCGTGGACACCGCTGCAAAGGATTATTACCGCAAGGAGTTGCCTATTCCATTAACGAAAGACTACATTCCAAAGCGTAATGCCAAACAGGTAAATTTTCAATCAACCAAGGAAGTGCCTGCTCCTAGCCATCACAAGAATCATTCAGGCCATCAGCGCACCTACAGCAATGTCGTCAAAGACGTGCCTTCACTACCAAATAAAGATCTGGATCCGAGATCCGAACATGTGCCGGCTTATGGCAATACTACTAAGGAGGATCCGCAGCAAGCGCGTAATCAAACCAAATTTGTGGCACCCAGTAGACATTTGGACATAGACTGCACGCCACAGTCCCAACAGCAGCAGCCTAGACGTGCTCCGAAGTCGAGTCAATACCCTGGCCCTAGCGGAGGTCGTGTGCTGTACAAGAATGCAAGGTTTGCAAATGATTCGAGCGTGGAGCGTGGCAAAAAACGCGACAGCTTGGTTGATTTGCTCTACTTTAAAAAGCCAACTAAATTTGACTACACTTCAACCGATTCCACTTCGGCCTTGATTCAAATGAACGAGGATATGGCAAGAATGTTTGACCTGTACACTACGGACTCCGCCAGCACGCAACAGACGCAGGAACGTAAGGACGAAATGAACGATCCGCCAAAAACCATAAAACACGAGCACCAACTGCCATCGCTGGGCTTGACCAGTCCCACTAAGAATAGCCCAGTGACGCCCAACAAAAACGCGAATGATGATGGTCCTACAATGATCGTGGATGGCTTCAAGCTAAGTGCCAAGGATATGATCGATACCATGGTGACAGCGCCAATGATACGCCGAGTACAGCGCATATATAGAGCCAATTTAGCTGAACAAATGCTGCTGGTGCAGGAACTTGACAGCATTCCAAAGTTGGTGAAAGAGACCCTGGAGAACGTAAGAAAGAACTAGGTAGGCAACACCTTAAGCGATTTACCCGTTCATTGACTTCGCTCCATTAACAGCACAAAGTTTACTCTACAGCAAGAGAAATGTTTTAATTAAAGTTTAAATAAATTATTGGTTAATTGTTAAGATGGTAAAAACATTTCCTCGAAAACATACCCTCAGTTTCAGTTGATCAACAAAATTATGGGGCCTTTCTAATAAGTTCCTTCATGAAAAGTCTTTTATTGTAAACAAGCTTGGCGTTTACGTAATTTTTCACTGTTCATACTAATATGTTGTATGTTAAGCTCTTGATTTTCCATAAAAGAAAAGCCGCATGACAATTTGCCGAAACATAGATATTGACTTGCACACACAAAAAAAATTTATTAATAAATATTTTATCAATGCAATAAAATATGTACTCGCCAATACGTGCCACTATGTACGTATTGTGCATAAGTATGTATGTTTGTTGTATAAAATGGCTTTTATAAAATGTATACAAAATAATTGTGACTTAATAATATACATATATACATTAGAAATGTGCGTAAAAGTAACTCAATGTCGATACACTTAGATAAAACACTTTAAAATATACATAATGCATAGCATGTTGTAGGTCGAAATTACATAATTTATATATATGCATATATACATACATATACATATATGTATGCATATTGTATTCATGCATGCATTTAATGAAATATGTAAATACTTTTTGGGATATACGGCGCTTACTGTCAACTCTATTTCTCTCTCAAGTGTTAAACACATTTTGCACAAAATGTCTGTAAATAATATACTGAATTTCCAATTCCGTTTAGGGGGGGAGGGCACTGCATTAATATATATTATAGGCAGACATATGGAATGCCGCTAGTTATGCCTGGTACATTCGCATTCTCACAGATATTTTCCATGCTGGCGGAAAATAAATGGAATTCAGTGGGGGCATAGCTAAAAACTACAGTTGCCAAGTCATAATTGGCCGGAGCAGGGACTACTAGGTAATAGCATATATAAGTACATGTTTATATATATATATATATGTATCATATATATTAAAAAAAAAAAATCCAATTTGCGTTGAAGCAAAATAATGGCCACTGCTGCGGAAATTAAAGCATAACTTAAAATAAGAAATCCCCAGTGCAAATGAATTTGACAGCACTTAAAAGATCTTCGCTAGACTCGGTGTGCGTCGAAAGGGATTCCACGAACTGGAGGATACGCTGCCCACGAAACGCGTCTTGGCGGAGGTCTTGAGCCGCAGCTTAGGCTTGGTGGTGGTGCTCGTGGGGCTGGAGGAGCCAGATGAGACGCCGGACGAGCTGGCAGCCGATAACGTTGATATGGAGCCCTTCGACGACAGTGGCTGCAATAAAATTAAAAAAATAAAATAAAACGTAAGCAAGTGCCTAGCAATAAGCGGCCGCCGAACTCACCTTTAGATAATTACGATCCATGGGCGTAATGACCTTAAGTTCCAGAGCTGCACCACACGATTGTATGAGCCGCACCACCTGCTGATGCGAATACCACTTGACATCCATGCCCGCTATTTCCACAATAAAGTCGCCCTCCTTGATGCCGCCCAGCTGCGAATGAATACGAAAGAGCTTCAGATTGCTACAGTCAACGATTGAAGCAGGGGCATACTCACATCCGCGAGTGAATTGATTTCCACATGGGCTATTATCACAGGCGCATCGCCGCGCACGTGGAAACCAAAATTCTCTAGTTCCTCCTTGTACAGACTGCAGCCCGCCTCGTGACTCTCATCGCCTCTGGGGCAGTGGCAATGGTAGCTGCTAGCATCATGATATATGGCCGAGCCCTTTTGCAGGCGCACACAACGCGGCGCTGTCCAATGGCGACGTGCAGAGAATATTGCAATGGGACCCAGTCGCTTAAAGGGATCTTCCACTTTGTACGATGTGAAGTCCGGACCCGTCAATGTCAGCGTAAACTTCGAGGATGCTGCAAACAATAAATGGGGAAAGGGTTTTCTTATCTAACTGTTAGACAACGCAACCTTAAGAGACTAAGACGGAGTTGCGGAAAATGCAACCTTCATGTGCGAAAAACTTTGTTCAAAGTTTGCATGAATAATAATAATATCAGAAGCCCGCAATATATGTTCCTGGACAAGCCCCAGCAGACTGCTCGCGTAGCACAGAGAGACTGTGCGTAGGTCAGCACGGAGTTAAGGGCTTAATTCCACGTAAAGATGTTTATTTTAATTGATTATTACCTTCCACGGTGCGTTCAATCAGATCATAGCACTCCTCAATGTTCTTGACCGGCGCTTGCAGGCAGAATCGTTCATATTCCTCCTGGGTCTTGTAGTAGGCCTCCTTGATGACCTGCGTGAGTGATGTTTTATTCTGCAAGCGGACAAATAGGCATGGCATGAGTAAGATGTGGGCCATTTGGCAGCGAGGCAGCGAGGCACCGTGGCAAGTGACTCACCTTCAGGTAGCGGCACATGCGCTGCAAACGCTGCGCCTCCTCATGACTAGCCAGAGCTTCTTTCAAGTGGGTGCGCTTAATGGCAGCAGCGCTGACGCTCTCCTCCTCGCATTCGCTGCTGGCTTCGGTGGCACGCAGTGCCTCCCGCGCATTGCCAATGAATGATTCGTTCGATGATGCCGTCTGGCTCTTTTTGGTGCCCAGCGAGACATTGTCGCCATCGCCCACAGTGGCATCAATGCTCCGCGCCTCGTAATGATGTGCGAGCGCTGGATTGGCAGGCAAGTGGGTTTGGTATTAGTCAATTGGTAGTCAAACTGTTGGCCAATATCAAGGCCAAGAATTGTGACAACACCTACCTTTGTACAATTCGGCCTTGAGCGGCACCAGACCCGCCCAGCACTCGGGCAGATAGGTGTGCGTGTCATTCACTTGGATGTTCTTGTGCATCTCGTTGTACTCCAGCGACAGCTGTGCCGCCTCGCCGGCCAAGTCCCGAAAGAGCTGCAATTGTTTGTAATATGATCAGCTAATGACATCAGAAGAGTCATCGCATTTCAGCTAACGGCCTCAAATGCTGCATGCATTCTAGATAAATCTTTGCTTCAGTCACTCGACTCGACAAACTATGCTCGTAACGCACGCACCTGCCACAATTGGCACAGTGCTCTTTGGCCAAGACTCACGTACTCATGCGATTGATAAAAAATAAACTCCAGCAGCAGCTGCTTAATTGAAACCTGGCTACTTAGCCAATGGAAATTGGATACGACTTCTAAAGACAACTACGAATTTTCAACTTGTGTTTTATATTGGCATTTCTTGCCATTCTTCTGGCCAGTACAAACTCATTTGTAAAGATTTTTAAAATGTTTTTGCTAATATTTTGTGCTTGATCAACCGATCGGTTTCTTAAAAAAATTATCAAAAACTTCGCCTTAATTCCTGCTTGGTGATCCTCTAAATACTTGGATGCACTTTGACAATTATGTACGTTAAGTTGGCAGACTTACATGACTGGACTCCGTCAGACCCAGAGCCTCGATCTGTAGCTGTAGCTTCTCGAAGAGGCATTCGCGTGCCTGGGATAACATGAGCGAGACAAGAACATCGAGCACCTGCGGCTTTAGGTCCATCGATGGTGCATTGGTGAATGTGTCGTAGATGTGACGGAAAATGCCGGCAGCACGAAGGAAACTGTCGACGGCAGCGTCCAGGCCGCGTTCCGTGCGTCTGTCGTGACGTGCTCCGATTTGTGTATAGATGGCGCCCAGATTGAACAGGGTGCAGGCCTTCTCGAAGGCAATTGTGCGCTGGCAGGAGGGCACACCGGTCAGCGAGTCGTACCACTCGAAATAGACGCCCAGATTGCGATCGGGCGGAAAGAAGCGCCGTTCCACATAATACAAAAGATTGTAATAACGGAATAGAAGTGCCACGCCAAGAGCGTCACGCGATGGCGTCTTGGAAGCCTATCGGGAAAATCAATAGGTAAGCAACGATTGCATAATTTCGATTGCGATAAATTGTAAAAAAAAAATTATATATTTACCTGTCTGGTGTCTGTCATATCGGCTATGGCATCCATATATATGGAGGGCTCTTCGCTATAATGCTCCAATATAAAGTCCGAAAATGGTTCCATAAAATTGATTTCCTTGGTCTCTTTCAGGCCCAACGGTATCATCGGCATTATGCCTTCATGACTGTGTAGGCGAAAGTTTAAGCGAATGAATTTGAATGTTTTAATCTCTTTTAATATAAAATAATAATTGTTGTGCCAATCTAATATACATTGATAACCATTCTATATGGAACCAAGCCTATAGTATGAGAGTATGAGTAGCAAATGTGATGAAGCCCATTCTGGCATGTTAAAAATATGTTGATAATCATTCAAATCTTAAGAACTGCCAATTATTTAAGCACTTTAACTAAATTATACTAATTTTTTGCAGCAGGTCTTTAACTTTCTTATACTAATTTATACCAATATCTAATCAACCGAAAACTTTAACTATCTATTGCCTATTTCGACGTATATAAGTATATTTAAATTAGAGCCCATCTTCAATTTTCGTGTGCGCCCAACCCTGGAAGCCCCAATCTAACTATAGGCCCATCAATATTGGAGTTCGTAATGTAGGTATGTATTTATATATTTTTTTGGGCATTGTGGAAATACATTTTTCTGCTGTTTGTTTCATATTTGTATTTTTTGTCAGTTGTGCATTTAATGACGCTTTTTCACTTTCTTTGTTGTTTTTTTTTTTTTTTTTTTTTTTTTTGCTGTGATTTCGTTCCACTAGACAGCGCAAAAAGGCGCTTGACCAGAAACTAATGCGCAAAAATTACAGCTGCCCAGCTGGGTAGCGCCCCATAGTTGTTGCATACCCCAAGCCAAACAGCAGCAGAGGGCAACTATAGCGAAAACTAAAGCTGTGAATTTCAACATTTGCATGCACAAAAGAAAAAAAAACTAAAGAGTACAGAAATTGGCATAAAAATATAATAATGGCAACAAATTATTCGGGGAAATGGGCGCAGGTGGATTTTGGGCATCGCAGCACCCAGTGGAGCAGTTAATCACTAAATCCCTCACCTCTCGCTTTGATAGATCTCCACAGATGAGTTCAGCTCGGCCAGTTGCTCCTTGAGCAGCTGCAAATTGGAATTGACGAAACTCAGCTCCAGAGCGACAGTGTCTCGCAGCTTGCGATTTGTAGTTGCCTGAAAATAATTATAGGATCGAATTAATGCGCTTATTCGGGGGTTAAATTAGTTGAATTATTTGCCCAAGACACAGCCAAACTTAACCTTATAGTTTGCCATGGCAATTATATTATATAGTGAACCGATATTGGTAAGATTTTGCATATATATGAGAATGATAGTAGTAGTAGATAAAACTAAGGCTTCCAAACCAAAACCTACTTCTCGATCGATTGTTCCAGTCGCAGCTATATAATATAGTGCTCAGATATTGATAGGATTTAGCATATATTTTAGAGGCAAAGTGAAACAAACAAGTTTTCCGAACAAAAACCGACTTGTCAACTAACTTTTCCTATGAATAAAATTTTCTATACGTGGAGGAAGCATAGTGAAATCCATAAACGCCGAGTTTGCGTAAAATATCTTGGTAGCAGAAAGACAGACCTCAGTAAAGTTTCAAGACAATAGCCAGACAAACGGACATGGTCATATCAACTCGGCTCTTGATGCTGATCTAGAATATATATACTTTACGGGGTCTGAGATGTCTTCTTCTATGCGATACACGTTTCATGACAAAATAATAATAATATAAAAAGAAATAACAGCTATCGGCGAAGAGAATTTAAGACATTTTGAAAATCAAATTTTTCATACCATTAATTTCTGTCTCTTTTTATAAAACTGTATTTTCTGACTGACTAAGCTCAATTTTTATTTTTAAAGATTTTTGTGAGAACTTGTTTCACATTTTTCCACGGTCGGGAAATGTTTGAGGAAGTTACATCTAAAAACATCATAGACATATATATATATATAAACCGGCTACCTCTGCTGTGGCAAGTTTTATGCTTAAAACCTTATATATTTCAAATAATAGCTCTTAAGAGAATCGGATATGGGTTAAATATCTGTGTCTTTCTGATTTAATGGGCATCAAAGTGGTTGAGACTTAGGGTAGAAATATACATACCTTATATAGATTTTCGGCACCAGCGCGCAAGCGCAGCTCCTTATTAATTTCCTGGTTCAGTTTACAGCGACGACTTTGCAACTTGCCACGACAGGTGGCCGCTCGTGGATCAGAGCCCTTTAATAAAGAATAGAATAGTTCGAATTATTATTACGTACAGATGATAGGTATAAATGGGACTTGTAAATGGTACAAGCAACTGAGAACTTCGGCGCAAGATTAACCACTTTGTCCTTGCTCTCGGAATAATTGTTGCATGTATTATTAACGATTTTACTTGGGGACTTAATGCGGTACAAATGTTTGTTACAAAATAAAAAATCGGCTGCTGTTTTAGTCGCCCATTTTCTGTAATGTTCACGAACTGATTCCATATGTAATTACAACATATTTTTAAAAAAACCAGAGGGTTTTTTTCAATGCGTAATTTGCTTGGAACGTGCCCAGCGAACGCAACAGAGTTGATTGACTTATTTACAACACACGTAGGAAGAGCCACAGATATAGAAATAGAACTTGCAGCCGAACCACAAATACTAGAAATGAAAAATGGAGTTGTTGGTTCTTGGAAAGGGTAACTGTTGCAACTGCAACTGCCACTGAAAACCGATGGCACAAAAGATACTTAGTCTACACAGCGCAAACAAGAAGAGTTGCTTTTGGAAACTGACGAAATTTAACAATTGCTTGGTCAACTTTTAAGTAAAAATAAGTAAAAGCTGACCGGCAGCATATTAAATATTTTGTTATATAAACAACAAATAACAAGGTATATATGGCTCTCAGTTGAATTATTAACAGACTGTGCTATTTTCTCTCAGATTGCAAATGCTGTATTTCCCTTAACTTGTTGGGAATTGCAAGCTTCAAGCAATGCAAGATATGCAAAATAAAAAGTAGAAGTAGCGATTGCCCATTAAGAGTAATAACATGAAATGCAGATGAATAGATAAAGAATATAGATTTTTCAAAAAACTTTCAAATATTCATTATTCATTATTTCGCTCAGTGTATGGCTAAGCACTTGCAAGTGCATAACAATAACAAAAGCTCAGCGTGTTATCTACAACTTGTGTATGTATATGTATTGTTATGTGTGTCGTTGTGCGTGTGTGTGTGTGTGTGTGTGTGTGTGTGTGTAAAAGGCCAATGCGCCGGGGCCAACATTGTAAAAGTAGTTGGGCGCGACTCTAAACCTGGCTATGGCTCTGGCTGGGCCATAATTACATTACGTCCACGTTCACACACACATAAACACATTCACGTATTTGTACGCCAACGCAGCGTGACACGATCGCAATAATCGTAAACGGAAGTAGGAAGTCATAGTCACGACGCTGCACATTCTGGCTCTGAGGCGTTCTTAATAGGATATGGGGCAGAGGGGATAGAAAAAAACAAAAAAACACCTTAATATGCATTGTCTGTACACCTTTCGTGCCTGATGCTTTCTGCCGACTTAAGCAAACCACTTGAGGTAAGAACATCGAGGTTTCCAGCTCGCTGCTCAAGTTGAGGAGGGTAAAAACAAGTGATATATATATATGTGTATATGCATATGAAAACAGAGTAGGGGCATAAGTGTATACAAAGCATACAAGGGAATATAAGTTGCAGAAATCTATCAAAATCAATCTATAGTCATCAAATAAACACCCGAGTACTATTATTATTTGAACATATAATCGCAAATAATGTGACCATGGAGGGAATTAAGCACAAGTTGTTGAATGAGCAACAAGCTGCGATAAATCAAAGAAATATCGCATATTATAATATAATAGGTGAAAACAGTATTGATTGAGATGAAAGTTGGAATATGTCAAATGATTGATGTAAGCCTAAGAAAAAATAACCGAAAACAAACCAAAGAACTGAAAGCAAGTTAAAGACAATGCAAACTCAAATGAAAACAAAATCTTAAGTGTGACAAAGATTTAAAGACAAGCTGATCTATGCATTTGCATATTCTATGCACTGTGACTTGAAGATTGCCCCAAAAGATAATGGATTCTTGTTATGGGCGATTTGCTGTTGTTTCGCTGCTTACAATTCCCAACAAGTTAAAGCAACGAAAACGAGCATAGAGCGTTTTCCTAGAGGCAACAACAAAGTGTGCTGTTGGACATCTTGAAGTCGGGAGTGTGGCTCACTTGTTTCTAGCTGATCAACTCGATGAGGTGCATAATTAGCTATGGCAGCCAGAACTGGCCCGTGGCCACCTATGAACTTGGCTTAGAGAGTGCCTCGTGTCCAGGTTAGGGGTTCAACTGCAGATGCGGTTGGACATGTGCAGCTAATGAGCTGACTGGTCTGCTAAGGACTTTTGACAGTCAGAGGCCTGGGAGTGTTTGGTCTTTATTATTTGTCGGCAGTGGAGCTGCTGGCCAGGTAAACGAGCCCAGCTGAATGCATTTTCAAATTGTGAGCTTGTGAGTTAGCTTTGTTTTCAGTGTGGCGTGTTCTGCATAATTAAAAGCGACAACGGCGGGGGCCGCGAGGCTTGGGGCCAAACCTTGAGCGTAGTTTATGACCGTCTTCGTCTTGGCCATGCGGATTTGGCAGCCCAACGTGGCAACAAATGGCGCCCGCGCTGCAATGCCCAACCGAATGGCTGGACAATGAACCCATCACATCGTGTCGTTCGGAACGGATTGCCATGGGCTTCAGTGGATCGACGTTGAGTCGCCTGGCATTAGACATGCATCAGCATCGCCTGCACGTGCTTGAAAAGTCAATGCACCTGGGCGATAGGCTCCCAGCTGGTGCGGAGGCGGGGGACGCCAGTCAAGTGTGCAAAATGATTGCATATAAATAATGTGCATACTTTGTATATCTTTGTATACCCATATAAATTGCTGCCCAGATTAACTGATAAACCGATTAACTGGACAAGTGGCTGATCAATTTGGTTTGCGGTTTAAGTTTCGCTTTCAATGAAAATGGGCATTGCTTAAAATCCAAAGCAAACCAAAATTGCCGTGCGCCGCATTTGTAATCCGGAATTACTTAAAACTTGCGGCGCATGCAAATGACATGGATAAAAATTGAGCATCAGCCCCATACATAAATACAAATCAGGGCCCCGTGTTGCCGAATTATGCATGAAAGCGCCCGAATTGGCAATGGGAATTTCAGTTTTCAGACTCAATTTCTGAAAACCTCAATAAGCGAAAGTGTTTTTATTTTGGGGGGCGCAATAACAGACATACCGTGGTTATTTAATAAACGAAAGATCGATAACACAGCTAAGCGAAGCGGAAATAATCGATAAGACGATAATGTCAAGACCTAAAAAGACGACTGTTCGCTTACGCGAGTTTTACTTGTATGAGTTTTACTTTCTTCATCAACCCTATAATGTATTTATACAGATATATACAATATATATATATATTTATATATATATTTATATGCAATATATATATATATATATACAATATATATATATTTATAGATATATATTATATATATCTCTTCAGGGCGACGAGTTGAGTCGATCTAGCTAGGTCCGTCTGCATATTATAACACTACGAACGAGCCGAACGAGCTTATATTACTGTTATCGATATCCATAAGATCGATAAATATTGATCAATAAAAATTCAAATATTAACTAAAACCTGTAATGATAACAAAAAACGGTAGTTATCAGAAATTGATAAGCGCACACACCATTACCATGCTTTCATAATAACTAGAGACAAAACATTTTTCACATAGATTCTCATATAGTATCTCGAACTGAGACTAGAATAATCAATAATAACTAAAGCATTAAATGGAACCCTTAACGATAATAAAGATCGATAGCAATCAGAGGTTGATAGAACTAATGCATCATTCTGCAATTCTGAAACTTGAACTAAATGAGGGGATTTCTATAAGGTACACAATGTTGGCAGCCCTAATAATGTTTTGAGCAATTTTACTTTATCTTCTGCTTCTAGTATTTATTGGCAACTAATTCCATAGAACCCCGTGTCAGTTTCATGGTAGCCGCTGGCTCATAATTGTGGCAAAGATCAAAGACTCACGACCTCGTTATTATTCTTACTTCATGTTGTTTCATAATGGCCAACCATGTCTGGCTGCTGATGTAGGGCTTCCGATTCGTTGGTTCATGGAACGTGTCTCGCTTAGTCTAAGCCAATATTGGCCCATATTCAAATCAAAGGGTCCAATTTGGTATTTTATCAGTAGCCAACATTTCCAAATCATATTCATAGCATTCATACCTGCTATGTAACACTTTCTAGAGTCCCAACCGCACATTCCGACACCCCGAAAACCTGTTGCTGGTTGTTTTTGTTGTCTTTTGGCTAGTTGTACTTTCACCTGTTTTAGGTCTTTTTTTTGCGTTTCGGCTTAGTGTTATTTGGTTTTATTTTGTTTTACAAATCGGGTTACAGTCATTAATTAAAAGCACACACAGGGCGGCGGAGAGAGACATTTCGGACAGCATCTATGCATGTTTTTGTTTTTTTGTATTGTTTTGGGGTCTTCTAGTCACAGTTGGACGCCGATTAGCCCAGCAAGCATCAGCGCATTTTTGTCCATCATTTTCATTGTTGTTCCTAACAACGGCGACCTACTAACTTTGTTATATGACCCGAACCCCAACAGAAATTTTAAGTATAAATGCCCAGAGCGAATTTTTGTATTTACAGTTCAAGCAGTTGCCCTTACCCAAAAATATTAATAGTAAACTATAGTATATATCGAGTAAATAAAAGGGGCACATGAATTTCTCTTGATTAAAGTCCGAATCGTTGATAGGACTCACATACATTTCAGAAGCCACAGTAGAGTTCGAAAAAATTGTGGAACCCTGTGACCTGTACAGGGTAACTGCTTGTGCCATCAGTGCCAATATACAATTAGCCTTGCAATTTGAACGAGGGCACCATTGTGCTTGGTCAAATTTCTAAGTTGCTAGAGCTAGAGCTTAGAGAATTTGCATAACATTCAACATTGACAACATGTTGCTACAACTTTTTTTTTAAGTGATGTAACTGAAAACGTGGTAACAAAAATCCATTGAAAAAAGCTGTAAACAAAAGCCTTTGGCTAGAACATGTTTGACGCTTGACAATTAAAGATGTGCTGGCAGATGA